TCGTTTTTAAGTGAAGTTAGACAGAGAAAGACAAGTTATTGTATGATATCACTTATATGTGGACTCTAAAAAAAGATAGATACAAATTCTATTTACAAACCAAAAACAGACTCACAGACATAGAGAACAAACTATGGTAAGTTACCAAAGGGGAAAGGGTGAGGAGGGAGGGATAAACCAGGGGTTAGGGATTAACAGACACACGTTACTATATATAAAATAAATAAACAACAAGGACCTGCTGTACAGCACAGGGGAACTATATCCAATTTCTTGTAATAACCTATAATGGAAAAGAATCTGAAAAGAAAAAATATATATACTTATGTATATGTATAACTGAATCACTTTGCTGTACACCTGAAACTAATACTGTAAATCAACTACACTTCAATAAAAAATCTAAAAAATAGTAATAAAGCATTGCCTTCAAGAAAATGCCTTGTACTGATGGACAGATTTTGTAAAAGAAAAAGCAGGTTTCTTCAGTCATGCCAAGACCCATATCAAACTGTTTCAAATCAGAAAAAGTTTTTTCCCCACTGGAAGAAAAGAGGGCTCTGCAGAGGCAAGCCCCACCACCTCCTCCTCACCTGGGAGGCCCCTTGGCCTGAACGATTCTCATCCAGGAGGAACTAGGCGCTTTCATGCCTTGTTCTGGGTCCCGCTTCCTCCTCCCACCAAACTGAATCGAGAATCACCACTGGTCATGGATGTGAATCAGGAAGGGCAGGGCTCACACAGCATCAAGCTCACCTCTGAAAGCTGAGTCCGAGTATTTTACCACTTTTGTGTCAAAGGACAAATGTGTTGCTCCCTGGAGGAAGCTGACAGAAAAATTAAGTCATTTTTGACTTAATTTTGTAATATGCACCATATTAAATGATATCAACATTAAAAAGCAAAATGAGGGGTGGGTAGAGCGTAAGCTTAGCATGCATGAAATCTTGGGTTCAATTCTCAGTACCTTCATTAAAAAACAAACAAACAAGGCTGAATCTGACCTTCCAGGATCCTTTCGAGAGACAGTGGGGCAGACAGAGGCAATAAAGAGGAGAATGTTACACGTCCAACCCAAATCACAGGATTTACACAGAACCAAATTGTCTGGTTAAAATATTCTCGTTGAGAATCCCCAGTAGAGGAAAGAAAGGAGAAGCTGATTTTAACTGGAACTCCAAATGTTCAAATGCTTTTAAATTCACGTATTTGCCAAACCTTGACTTGATACATTGGAGGACGACACGTGAACATTAACGATGAGCCCTGCCGGCCACTCATCTGGATGCAGGGACACAGAATCGGGCCCCACCTACTCTCCCAGAGGCATCTCACAGCTGGAAAAAGCGTTTCCCTTACTGCTGCAGCCTCAGTTTCTAAGTGAATTCAAACGTGTGTATACTCGAACTTGCCCCAAAGAGAACAAAGTACCTGCACTGAAATAAAGCGACTGCCCTCTTTTCTTGGGTCACCCTCGCACAACAGCAGGTCTGAGTCCTTATCTAGCCTTGGGAGGGAGGCGGAAGTGACAAGGAACAGTGCTAAGTCCTAGCCAGGATATTCCCTGAGATTTCCTACAAAAGAACTAGACTTTTTGAGGCATCTGAGAACTCAGTTAAAGAGGCAGCTATGCAATGGTGATGGTGTTAACTTGATGTGACCTTGACTGGGCTAAGGGATGCCCAGATAGCCGGCAAAACATGAATTCTGGGTGTGTGAGAGTATTTCCAGAAGAGATTATTAGCACTTGAATTGGTAGACTGAGTCAAGATCACCCTCATCAACGCAGGTGGGCTTTATCCAAAACGTGGGGGGCCGGGACCAAACGAAAAGGACAAAGGGAGATTTTTTTCTCTTTGCTTGAGCTGAAAAATCCGTCTTCTCCCCTTGGACATTGGTGCTGCTGGTTCTCAGGCCTTTGGGCTAAGTTGGACTAAATTAAACTCTAGGCTTTCCTGAGTCTCCAGCTTGCAGATGGCAGATGGTGGGACTTCTCGACTCCACAGTTGCGGGAGCCAGTTCCCATAATAAACCTCCTCATGGATCTGGATCTCTACATACTACTGGTTCTCTTTCTCTGGAGAACTAACCCAGCAACTTCAGTCAAAGGAGTACAGACATGCAGCTTTCTCCAAGTCATCTCAGGTAAGCGGCAGAGGCAGGCGGCTTGTAATCTTAAATGTAACAGAAGACAGGCTTTAAGAGTTAGGAAACAGAGCCGAATTCCAACCCTGAAACAAATTACTTATTTGTTTCTGATAGAATCAGAACGCTTAGTAGGTAGACAGAGAAGGGAAAACAGGTTAAGTCTGCTCCCTTGAAAAAAAACTAAAAGCATTGAAAAACTAAAAGCATTGAGTTAATCGGAGAATTCCACTCTGTAATATTGTGGTGGCACACAGCTATCCTAGGAAAATGCCTTATATTGTGATGTACCTAAACAATTTTAAAAATTAACTGTAACAAATCTACTCAAACTATAGCCTACACCAGACACTAATGCAACATTATAAATTTTAAAATGTTATATGACAATAATACCTCAATAAAATTTTTTAATGAAAAAAATAAACGTAACCAGAGCAAAACTGCAGCAACACCTGCTCCTGCTCCTTCAACAGCCTGCTGACCAGAGGAAAACAGCGCTCAAGGATGCCTCAGACCCAGTAGAACACGCTAGAAAGATGAGGTCCGCATCTGACCTAGTGGGGCTGCCACACACCCTCCCAACTCAATCCATTTTCCTTAAAACGTCTCGATTCGCCTTGACAAAGGAAGAGCATTTGTTTCAGGAAAAAGAAAACTTTATCCAGGGAAGATGACCTTTCCCAAGCAGGCAGCCCCTTTGCAAACAATCTCTTCTGATCAGCTTTCAGCCATGCAAATATACAGCTCAATGGATAATTTGCAGTTTGAAGTGCAAATGGAAGTAAACAGATGCTTTTTTGATCCAATTCATCCAACTTTCCATAATATTGGAAAAAAAGATGTAACATTTTGGAAGCAAGGGAGAGCCCAGTAGAAGCAACCATCCTGTTACGTCTTACATAGGCCTCTAATTTCAAATGGTTATCCTGAATGTAGGTGTCATCACTCGCATGGATGGAGTGTGTTTCGAAGCTTCTGGCACTGGCTGGTGTTGAGAGCAGTTTCCAGCTTTGAGTTCATATACATGCTTCAGGAGATCCCTTAACTCTAATTCTTCTCCTTGGAAGGTTTTAAAAGAACTTTTAAATTATCCATGGGAGAGCGTAGAGAGAATCTTACAGCACATTGCTCGTTCTGTGTGAAATCAGTCAATGGTCTCTACATGCATTTTAGAATACACACACCAAGTTCCAAAATATGTCTTGCTTCCTAGTTATAAAATCAATAGTCATGTAAGAATGATCGATTGAAATGCAAGGTTTTCTTAATTTCTTACTCTCTATAGGCTTGCAACTTCATAACCACTTCAAGGTCTCAACATTCATTCCAATGTTATAAAAAAAAATTATGACTTCCAAATGTGAATAACCAAGTCCAAGATTTTGTGCTATACACTGTTCCTAAATTTAAAGTGATCGTGCTGTTCAATCCTTAAGAGCAGAAACCATAAAGGCAAAAAAGAAAATGCATATAAATGTAAGAACTTTTAAAACAAGCTTCCCTTAGTTTTCACTGCCAAAGGGATACAGCTTAAAATATCTCAAATGAGTGATCCCTTTTATAATTCAATCATGGAAATGTAATTTATTCAAAAGAATATTTATACAAAAGAATATCTAAATGCTTCAAAATACTAAATGCTTCAAAAATTAACATGTTTATAGAAGGCCTTCTTTGGCAGTCATGAAACCTGATATGGTAGGCACATTCACCATCACCTCTTTACCCCAGAACTTTCCACAGGAGACGCCATTTTCAGACAGAACTGGAACTAATATAGCAAAAAAGGGAAAAAATTCAGCATAGTATTTGTGTTAAAAATTAATGTAAAGAAGCCAGAAAGAGAAAGAAAAATACCACATGATGTCATTTATATGCGGAACCTAAAAAAAGAAAAGAAAAAGACGAACTTATTTACAAAACAGAAACAGACTCATATAGAAAACAAACTTCTGGTTACCAGGGGGAAAAGGGGGTAGGAAGGGATAAATTGGGAATTCAAGGTGTGCAGATACTAATGTATATAAGGTGAACAAGTTCATACTGTATAGCACAGGGAAATACATTCAACATCTTGTAGTAACTTTTGGTGAAAAAGAACATGAAAATGAATGTATGTGTGTTTATGTATGACTGAAGCATTATGCTGTACACCAGAAAATTGACACAACATTGTAAACTGTATTTCAATTAAAAAATACAAATGTACCCCAAAATTGTATAAACCATTTAAGAATCTGTAGTAAAAAATTAATGTAAAGAAAACTTGCTATGATCTTTTCCACAAAACTTTTAGAAAAAACCCACGTTATTCTGATACAACTATATGAAAACACTTCAAATTAGTTTAGCATTTGATGTTAAATAGGAATTCTGTATTCTTTGCAATTGGTTGAAAATTTACATACTTGCAATTTACAAAACAAAGGAAACAGAACAGTTGATGAGTCATGGGAAGTTCCATCCCAAAGAAGCAGACTGAGTTTAAAACAAAAAAAGGTGGTGGTGGGGAGCAGAGAAGGTGTTGACAAAACTGTTCCCATTCTAAAACAGCGAGATGTGTCATCTCACTTCTCAACCCATCAGTGACCCCCAAACTGAACGTCCACTAACCAGGGCTTTAATCGGTCAATCAAGATGGTGTCCTTTCAGACCGGCTGGAGATGGTTTTTTCACAAGGCCTCTTGCGTTGGGGCCTCTGTGAGCACCCTGCAAGGATCACAGTACAGCATCTCATTACAGCCCGGGAAGAGAGTGCGTTGACTTCCAACCTAACTTTACGTTCTGCTTCCACTCTTCTGAGTCAGTTACAGGAAGTCAGCATCAGTAATAAAGACAAGGTGAACCCAGACTACACACATAAAATAAGACATTTATTATGCTAAAGAACAGGTTTTATTTTTCATTTCCCCAAAACACTAAAATAATACACGGCATAGTGATTTAGCACACAATAGAAACTGATAGATGCAATCAATCATTCCGAAAATGGTTAGGTCTTCCTTTGGGACTCCTTAAAAACTTATGCCCTTAAGTACCTTTTATCAAAGTTATGAACACACAACAAAAGGACTTATCTCAGAAAAATCCTAGGGTAAGAGATACCTCAACTCCTAGAAATGGGAGACTTCCTGTATGGGAAATACTTGATTTGCCTGTAACTGAGCACAGCAGGTAGTCTCAAGCTCATTTTTACTTTGTGTAACAGTCCCAGGGTTCCTAACTTGAGAAAAGGTGATCTAAAGGTCAGGTTAATATTGCAACTTTCACCGTAGGGCCTCCATTTAAATTGCATTTCAAGTGGAAGGAAAGAGATGTGAGAAAAGAAATCAAATTTTGCCGACCAAAATTATTCTACAAAATGCAGAAGTGGTAACAGCTTACCATCAACTCAGCCTGGCTTAGAGCAAGTACACAGGGGTTGATTTTACAAGCATCTGCTTCCATGAGCTGGTCAAAGACAGTCTGGAGAGGCAGGATCTGGGACAGTAGCCCTTTAGAATGGGTGCTGAAGGTATATTCAAAACTTTCCATTAAATCTTTAGGTTCTAGTCTGATATTTATATAGGATCTAGTAATATTCTCCTTGAAACAGTTTCCCAATCTTGAATGCCTTCCAAGCACAATTTAAAACTCAAAACTCAAAAATTTACTTCTGTTATCAACCAGCTTTCCATGAGTTTAAATTCCACTTACTTTTAAGTCTGTCTGGTCCTACAAACCAAAGCAGGAGCTTCATGCCTGCACCATTTGCATCCAGACTTAATGCAAAAGAAATCATTCTAGGACAACTTTTAAAATTAGTCTATTTTTGTTGTTCTGCCTGTACCTTAACTATGGCACAACATGTCTGCTAATTCAAAAGCTTGTCAAGCCAGTGATGCCAGTGTTACCTGCAGATCATCAGAGGTACTTTTCATACGTGAAAGCACTTTCTTGTATTCTACTGTTTGCTCTGAAAACACAGGCTTTGAATGGCCAGGGAAAACACATTTTGTCTCATCATTCAAGACTATTTGGGGATGGGCGTGCAGCAGCATAGACAGGACGGAACGCAGGCAAGATGGTTCCAATTCAGAGTCTAGCCTCTCCAGAAAAGCGCCTGGCAGTTCATTCTCAGAAATCCCCATTTCTGACTGCTTCTGATAGCACGCTGGTCCTGAATCCCAAGGTGCTCCTTTGTGGTCCCGCCCTCTGTGGCTGTCGGTGGCCCTGGGCCCTCCTCCCAGCCAGTCCCTCCCCTGAACTTCCCTGCCACCACAGAGCACCCCAGCAAAATGCTCTTCTGCAGAAGCAAAGGGCAGATCCACAGTCTTGCTCTGAGCAGCTGCTGCAGCTGAATTTCTTCGTACTGATTCTTGCAAAAGTGGAAGTGTGCTGTTACCATTGTGAAGCAAGAGGCTGACCTCACTCAGATCATTTTTCATTTCCGATGATAACTCCTCATTGTGTGAATTTCCACTTACATCAACTGCAGGCTTATTCATCCAGGAAGTTACATCCGATGGGCAAGGGCTCTCCTTCCACTTTCTCTTCAGTCCATACAACAGCTGGTCTGCGTTGTCGCCCGCTCCCTTCTCTTGTGCGAGGCGGGCGGTCAGAGTCCCTCTTCTGTCCCTCATGCTGTGTGTTCTCTGATGCCCTGAGCCCGAGGACACGCCTGTCAGTCCACAGGAAGCCTTCAATGGATCTCAATATGCACCTGGAAAAGATTGTCAAGTTAAAGTGTTATAATGAAGATAGGGTCTTAAGAGAGTCCACGCACACCAGGTACTTCCCAACAAATACGAAGACCTCTTTAACAGTTTCCAGCACCAAGGAGTCCTACGTTTTGATAGAAAACAGGTTACCAACCTTCCAATCAGAAATCATAACAAAAAGAAAAATACTTTATTAATGCAGTGTTTCCTAAAAATGCTTTAAAATTATAAAGACATGCATTCTGAGGCTCTGCACTTTTCATGGCAACACAGTTATTTGTGCAGGTTCAAGAAAAATCGGTCTTCCCTTTAACCAGGATAAATTGGATGACTCAACTAGGCACCCAAGGCCTTGCTGGAAGTGTCCCACTTGAGAATGATTCTCAGTGACTCAGGCAGGAGGAATCACTTTAAAGGTTGAATCAAGGGCGACTTTCCTCATGGATCTGATGCCCACAAAGCCCTCCCAGGAAAACCAGCCTGGAGGGCTCCTGGCATCCAAGGTTCCAGCCTCAGAGTGGGACAGAAGATCAGGGCTCATTAGGGATCTCAGCAAATTCTGGAGCCTCCATAAGGGAACAACTCACCCAAATTTCTTTGTACTGGATGTAAAAACGTGGCCGAGAAAGCTGCTTGGGCTTAGCTCCCCACTCTCAGACTAGCAAATAGAGGCTCTGAAAAGCTCGATCTGAGAGTCCACAAGAAAACTTCTGGACAGACGCTGATCTGCAACCTCACCAGCTGTTCAAGAGTAAACTGGTCCATCCGGTCAGCACCTGCAAACCTACTGAGCTCAGCCTTTTTTCTGTGACTGAGAATAATCTTTCTGTGACATTATGCTCCAAATGGGAAGATGGCAGGATAAACTGTGAAAGGCTTTGAGATAGACAAAAACCCAACATTCTTGGGTGAGCTGTCCAGCACATCCTTTGTGTTTCCCAATTCTGCAGGCTCCACACCTTTGTCTTTGCTGTTTTACAAGTCTAGGTTGTAGAAAACTTAAGAGGAAGGCAAGTGATTTCCTGTTCAAAGATACGGAAATTAATTTTGTCCAGAGGAATACAACTGATAACTGCCCTGTGGATACTGACCAGTTTTTTATCTGTACGTAAATTCACTTTAGCCTTCCTAATCACATGTGTTTTGTCTAAATTCTTCTTCAAACTGATGACTTTAAAAAGTCTCTGACACCTGTTCCTTTAAAAAAAAAAAAGCACACCCCAGAACATCGATGAACGGAAATTTTAAAAATACGTAAATTGTACTCAGCAACTTTTCTAAGAGGCTAGCCTAAGGAACAATACTCTAACTAATATGCAGTAACTCTTTTTGTAGGAGGAGGATGGAAATAAGAATATGGGCAAAAGACAGCTGACAGCTCATCTCCCACTGTAAGACAAACACAAAGCCAAAAACTGAAAAGTCAAGAAGCAACGATCCAAGTGCGCAATTTCGAAACTGAGAAGTAAACACAAGTGGACCAGCCGTAGCTGCAAGCGGTTGGCTAGATGGAGAAACGGGAGGCAGGAAACTGCTGTTTTTCTTAACGAATTTTGTGGAACCAGGAAGACTCATCAGGTTCTATGACTGTATAAGCCTAAGTTTTTTAAAATTTAAAGAGAGTACACTGGGAAGAAAATAAAGCAAATAAGTATTATTGGAGGCTGAAGAGAAAGCAAAGAGGGCTAAGGGATGGGGCCGTGGAGCCAACCAGGAGCCGACAGTGCGAGGTAAGGAGCTTGGTCTTCACTCGGCAGGTGATGGAGAGCCACTGAGCAATTTTTAGCCTGGAAATGATGGCTAGATTTGCATTTTAGACTAATTCCTCTGGCTGCAGTATGGTGGCTCGACTGGAAAGGAATCACACTAAACACACCAATCGGAAGGCTATTCCGATAGCGCAGGGAGAACAAGAAGTCAGCCTGTGAGAGTGAAGAGCAGGGAGAAACTGAAGTATCTTCTTAAAGCTGGTGACTGACTAGATGGAGAAAAGGCTGAGATGCCCCGTAGGTTTCCTGCCTTTCAATTCTCGGTAACTTGAAGGCATTATTAACTGAAGCCAGGGAGGAGCAGCAGGTCTGGAGGGAGGTTAAGGCACTCGGATTGGACATGGAGAGTCTGCCAGCAGGGCTCTGGCAAGCAAATGGATTAGTAGTCTTTAGCTCAAGAGAGATGTCAGAGCTGGTCACCTGGATTCAGAAGTCACCAGCTTTTGGGAGGCAGATGAAACGGTGGCCCTGGTATAACACGTCAAGAAAGAAGACAAAGATGGCAAGGTACAGAAGGCCAGGTTCCCCAAGATCTAAAGATTAGACGGGCGAGGAGCTCCCCAGAGCCATCAAGGAGGAAGATTCAAAGCACCTCGGGAAAATTCAGGGTCGTAGATGCCAACTGCATTGAGTGCTTCAAAAGGAGGGTGGTTAGATATGTTTCTTGCACAACTAAGTTAGCTACAAGTAAACTCTGAAGAACTCTTCACACAGTCAGTGGTCATTAAAATGGGGTGACCCCACCCCAAGGAGCATGGGAAAAAATACCAGAACATCTTTGCCTAGTTCATTTTTATCTTGTCCCACTTTTAATTTTTCTGTTTTGTAATATATGCCATATTTTGGTAGAGCAAAATCCAGTTTATAAACAAGTGTATATATATACATGTATATATCTGTGGAGCATGCGTGAAACTTTTTATCTGTACAAGTGTGACCATTACTCTATATAAACCACTGACACAAATATATTTGAGCAGTATAAAGCAATATGCAAACATAAGGTGTAATTTTTTTAAATTGAGGTATAACTGACATATTTTAGAGTTTCAGGTATACAACACAGTGATTCAATTTTTGTACCTGTTGCAAAATGATCACCACAGTTACATCAGCATCCATTATCCAGAAATCGAAATAAACGCTTTCAAAGTTCACCAAGTCAAATCTAATTAACATCTCTTGACAATTCTCTCAAACTAACTTTCCAAAGCATATTATTTTAAACCTTACACCTATTTTACTGATCTGAAATGTACTAGGAATGAACATTTTCCTAAAATGGAAGTATTTGTAAATATATTTTACATACATACCAGAACAGGTTTTCTTAAAAATAATTCTTAAGAAAAACAGGTCACTTAATATGGGCCAATTCTCAGGAAAATTAGTTTCTAACCACTTTTATTATATCCTTGTACAAGGACTTAGCACCATTCAGAAACATAAAGTATTGCCAGAATTGTGTTAAAATATTTTAAATAAGGTATCATTAATGTAACCACACGTTCAATAATAATAATCATGTATTTAATAATGAGAGAATAAATTATATACTAAAGATCTTCTAGTTCTTTGGTAAATTCAGTAATAAACTATGTATTTAATTCTCTTGACAAACATATTTCAGGAGGCTGGTGAAATATTTTGGCTACGAGCCCTCAACTAAGTTGACTCTTCTGATATTAGACTGTTACACACATAACTTATATTTTGAGAGCCAGAAATAACCTTCAAATAATTTCTAAACATGCAGTCATTTGGGAACTATGTTTTGTGGTTTATTCTCATTACAGAGTAGCAAATGAAGTATGCATAATTATGTAATTAACTGGCCTTGGCCCTAGCTCTCTCATCATCTCCCACCCCTCAGCCCCCATATTAAGTCTACAAAGTAATAAGCATAAATTATGGCAAATCAACTTATCCACCAAAAATGAGATCCCCCCCCCCAACCCCAACCTAAGGAGGGAAGTCTATTTTGCAGTTCAAGAGAGTATGACTTAGGAAAAATCAAGTGCAGGACTGGGCGTAAATTCCTGAACTTAATCCCTACTGCCAGAGCGGGTGATGTGTGCAGGGAAATGAGGTTGTCTGGGCAAGTCCCCGATCCTGGGCAGACAGGAGTCCTCGCCAGCTGGGGGTGGCTGACCCGCCTGCTGCATGACAATAGCCTGACCCAGTTAGGCAGCTGCTGCCCTCTTGGACTGCAGTCACCTTACCTTCCCCAACCTGAGCTATTCATGGCCTCAGGGACGTGATGGTCTGGATACCACTGCTCTGGAAACTAAAAATATCCTGGCCTCTATGCTGCTGAAAGCCAGCTGGCAAGGCTATATTCCCAAAGGGGGCCGGGGTAGGGGTGACACAGCTGAACGAGCAGAGGCTGCCCAGCCAGGGTGGATGATGATGGGCTTGGAGTGGGGTCCTGCCTGTGATGACCCACAAACGTGCTCCAAGGACACCTGGCTTCCCCGCTTTTTTTTTTTTGAAGTATAGTTGATTTATACTATCATATTAACTTCAGGTGTACAGCATAGTGATTCGGTACCTTTACGGATTACAATGCATTAAAAGCTACTACAAGACAACGGCTCTAATTCCCTGTGCTGTACAATATATCCTTGTTGCTTATCTACTTTATACATTGCATCTGGCAATCCCATAGCCCTAATTTGCACCCTCTTTGGGACTGCTAGTCTGTTTTCTCTCTCTCTGAGTCTGTTTCTGTTCTGCACATACACTCATCTGTATTATTTCTTAGCTTCCACACAGAAGTGACAGCACACATTCACAGGTTTCAGATGTGAACATCACTGGACCTTACCATCGCTGAGCTCACAGCTAAAACAATGAGACTGAGGAGGTGGCTGAAAAAAATTCCTCAGGTTGCTACACAGCTTAGAGGGTGAGAAATAGGCAAGACTCAGTCACCTCTGCATTGAACTGAGTCATAACCACAGGAAACACACCAAACGTACTAAGTTCCCGTTGCCAACCACTCAGTGCGCCCGCATCACACCCGCGCTCTAAGCCAGCTGTGCACTTCTGGCAGGCCACCACCCTGACCCCTCCCTCAGCTCACTGACAGGTGAGGAGGGCGGGCCTAGCTAGGCTGTATCCTCTTTCCTTGGGAGGCTGTGAGGACTCAGTGTGTGGCCGCACCTGCTGTGTTCTCTGACCAGCGT